CAAGACGAAGGCATACAAGCCGACATTGTGCAGCCAGATGTCATGAACACTGAGCTCGACCAGTCGTCTGACCAGACAGCGCCTACTCAAACGCCTACGCCTTCTTCTGAACCTTCAATTCCTTGCACCACAACCATTCCTTCTGAAGACTATTCAAGCGAGGAGTCACCCGATGCAAATCTTCGACGAGCGTCGGGAGCTAGTGACTTAATCTCCTTTGAGTCTATGACTACCGAGCTCCGGGAGCCCAAAACTCAACCAGAGCAGACCGATGATACTGACGGTCCAGCTCATATCGACGATTGGCTGGCTCCCACTCCATCTCCGCTCGTCACTACATTCACTAGACCTACGGCTCACCCCCTTTCTTCCGCGAGATCGCCGAAGGGAGAATCATCTTCTGCAGCCCAACGCACCTCTCCGAGAACCCCTGCTCGACCGATCGCGCAGACGCCAAACAAGAAGTCTAAACTCCTGTTCCCGCCGTCTGTCGAATCATCTACGCGTAAACTGTCATCGAAAGGCAAAGAGCGGGCCGTTCTTGGTCGATCAGATTCCGACAACTCTATGTTTTCGGGCGAAGAGGACAAAGATTCGCAGACGAAGAAGGAGCGACGTGAGGCTATGAAAGCAGAGCGGTCGAAGAAGACTGCAGAGGAGACAGAGCTGAGAACCAAACGACTGAGGAGTCTCAGTCCAGAAGTAGATGCGTTTCTTGTCGAGCTTCCAAAATCGCCGGGGAAAACCACTATTCCACTTCAGAGTCCAGATAGGCTCAGCTCCCGCACGCCTGATCCTGTTGAATCTGAAGCCGAAGAAAGGGCACGAAAGAGACAGCGCAGGAGTCCTGAACGCCAACTGTCTCCAGCAAGATTGCAGGATGCCAGACTGAAGAGTCTGAGCCCGTCCAGCGCAACCCTGCTCATGAACATTATTGCACCTACCCCCGCCCAATCTCCTGGACATGTATTAGAGGAAGCGGGCTTCGTTACACCGGATCGACCTACACGCGTTATTTCTTTCGATCCCTTTGAAACGCCTTCGCCCTCCAAGCGGCCCACCAAGGCAGGACCTGCTGGCACCCCTGCTGGGCGAGTTGCAGTTTCACCAGAGAAGCGAGTCTTTGTGAATCCACTAGACAATCCCAATCGCACTCCCGCCCGCCGGATCTTTGGCCTTAATCCAACTACATTGGCGAACGCTAGAGGCGCATCCGAAGAACCAACGGGATCGCGAGCTGGCTCTCCAAGTCCACGGCGACCACCACGAGCCGCAAGTGCCGAGCCCTCACAATCCACAGCGCCGCCAAAACTCCCCTTTGCTATCGTAGCCTCAAAAACACTTGCCCCCGTTCCAGAGGCACCATCTCAATCTACTCTTCGTGCAGCATCTAAGATACCCAGAACAGGAACGAAGCCCTATAGTCGCCCTGTTTCGCGGCTACCGCTCCCTTCTTCTAAGACAATGGATAAGACCACACCACCACTGCACGCACAAGCAGCACCTGTAGGTTTACTTCGGATATTTTCTCGCAGATGTTAAAATGACTTTTTGCAGAGCCGAATACCATCGCCCGTCAAGGTTGCACGCCTCGTCGTACCTACTTACAACACAGATAATTCCAGTTCACCATCACCTCTCAAACGGAAACGAGACGGCCCCTCGGATGGAGCTCCTTCGAGAGCACTGGTCGCACGTACTGTCGTTCCCGGCATGTTCAACAAGAACGGCGAGCCTGCTACTACCAAACCTCCCTCATCTACCCAATCCTCTGCAATAACTATCGTTCGCGGGCCCATTCCTGCTCGTATAGTAGTCCGGAAACCGCCGATCGCAACTATCGAACATCCACATCCACAGCCTGAGCCTTCGGAAACGCCCTCCGATCCTTTGGATAATGCACCACCACAACCGGAACCTACAGACGATCTTCCTCCCTCAGATCCTCCGACTTCCTCAGATAATGAGGAACAAACTCTCGGAAGACCAGCAACTCCCGTTGACAATGTCGCCAAAGAAGACCCTCCAACGACTGACCAGCAACCATCAGGTAGTCGTGTCTCCAGGAATCCGAAGCGGGCTGTTAAAGTGGTCTCGACGGTAGCTCCTGTGACACCCAAGAAGTCGACCGGGAATCCCGTATCAAAGAGAGCTAAAACTCCCAAACCCGGAATGTCCAGTCCGCCTTCGGCGCTCGGCATGACTGATAATGCGCTGAGAGCTCTGACCGGCGCCAATACAGCCCGAAATCAAGAATATATTATCGAGCTGGAGCGACACATTGTTCGAAAGCCTGGAAAGCGGCCAGATAGTCCTACGACGAAGATTAGGACTATCACGGAGAAGAGAAAGGAGGAACAGAAGGGCGAGAGAGCAGCTCGACGGCTGAAAAGGGCACGAGACATTGGGGACTTATCAATCGAGGAGGAACAAGAGCTGCTGCGACAAGTGCCTGATGATGATGCCGATTTTGAGCAGGAACCCTTGACTCATGTACGAGGACCGGGAGAGTCGTCAGATTATGAGACCCCGACGAAGCCGGACCGGAATGGGAAAGCCGTGAAATGGTACAAAGCTCTTGCAAGAGGGGCCAGTGTAGGTCCTTCAGATCAAGGCAGTGAGACATCAGCAGAGGCTGCTGCGCGGAAGGGCATTCTGGCCCGCAACGCAAAGGTGCGTGTCATTTAATCTAGGTGCGAACGTTACTGAGTCTATGTTGCAGATGCTTGGACTGGATAATCTGGGCAATTTACCTGATACCAATACGGTGATACCAGACGTCGTACCTGCGAAGATTGTTTATACCAAATATGTGTACGACGACGACGACGAACTCTTGGAAGAGCTTAATTTGAAGCCTGCGAAAGCCCGGACGAAGAAAAAGAAGGCATAAGGCACGTCGGGCATCATATCACTATTCATATTGTAGATCATTGGTTGTTGTATATATCTACTGTATCTCATCATATTACTGCTATTTGTTGGACACCGGGTCACTAAGCTGTGCGCAGAACGGCAATGGCGGTGTTGATGCACGCGGCGGGCGCCACCAGGCAGAGCTTCGGCAAAGTTGAGCCAGTTTCGGTGACCGGACTATATTTCCTGCCTTTTACCGTCTCGTTCGCTCTCCTCGCTCCTCGCCCACGTCTCCTCCCTACGTTCATTCACTCCCGTCATCATGGCCATAGAGCCGTTCCTAAGCACAAGTCCACAGCGAGGCTTCACGGGCATAGGTACGATTTGCTGGTTGCATGCCCCGCCTCTCCTAACTAACCGGATTTCTAGTCGTATTTCGTGAGTTGGAATAACCTTTGAAGGCTAGGCGGAACTTGTCATTAATGAGGTTCAGAGGCGATCGTTGTCCTCGCCATGATCGCGACCGTGTTTGGTCTGGTGCGTCATGAACATTAACTGCCTCCCCTGGACTTCATTTCTGACCTGGCTCTTATGACTCCATAGATTGTGGAGAACGTTGACGTGGGGGATCAAGTTTCCAAGACCGTGCCATGCTATTTCGCCATATTTGGTCTTGCAGAGTGTGTCTGGTCTCGTGCCACGAGGCTGCCGCGTCCAACTCAACTTATCCAGACTCTTTGAACTCTACCTTACACTCGATGCCCTCTACTTCAGGAACATAATAGAAATGGTACGCTGGATCTCACTCGCGCGTCGATTCGTCTAACCCTATACGCAGTTCGGTATACTGGGTTCGTCAATGTGCTATGTTCCCCGCGGAAGTTCTGATACGGTCGACAGCTTTCCACGGAGGAATGTTGGTCTATTCTGCCATTCAAATTCATGAAACCAAGAACGCCGTCCTGCATTCGGCACAGTGCGGCTCGGTATGTACAAAATGCATATCAGACTCTCGGCTATTGACGGCCAATTCCTTCAGCATTGTGAAAGCCTCCCTGCTCTCTGGTCGAAAGTCGAAAAGCTTCTGATCGTCGTCCCTGCGATACTCGGAGCATCACTTTTGGGTCTCTGTTTCGTCGCCCGCGCCCTTTATGATGAATTTGGGTGAGCCACATCATCGTCAAATTCTGCTGCCGTGTGCTTAGACAGGGTAGATGGGCCATTTTCCACCATCTTGGTGCAAACCCTGCCATGAAAAGTGCGCAAATCAATTCGAATTTACTTACGTCATATTCACCTTATTTTAGGGATGTACCGATGGTATCAAATCATGATCATCTTGGTTAAAATGGATTGGTTCTTTTTCACAGGCTTGACGCTCCAAGTACGAGGGATTTTTTATATATCTTTTGTTAAAAGGCTTATTCGTTTCAACCGCGATAGCTTCTCGTAGTCGTGCTGAACAGAGATTCAGCAGAGTTCGGTGTCACTATCGCGGCTATTCCGGTCGTGATGATCTTGCTCGTTGGCTCTGCTATTGCCCTGAAACGAGAGATAAAGTGGCTGATGGCCTTTTCACTGCTCTTGTTCTGCGCTTCTCAGGCCTACTTCAGTCCGTTCTCTTTCCATCACCAAGCCTGCACAAGTTAATCTCTACCCTATAGTCTTCAAGTTCGTGAGGTATTACAGTCCGTCAACGGAGGCACAGTATGTTTCGACACGAGCAACACTCTCCGTCTTCAGTAAGCGTGACACTTTTTATTGTCCCGCCTGGCTCACGTTCTCTCAGCAATTATCTCCTTCCTTCTGGTATTTGCCAGCTTCGCCATTGGTCTTCGCTGTTTCGCAGATTTCGATAAAGGCCTTCGGCAATCCAAGACCAATGAGGCACCTCAAACTAGACCTAAACTCGGACATTCTGCCCCGGGGTCGCCCATGTATGAGCAGAATCAGTCCTATGGATTACAGAGACAGATTTCTATTGAGTAAAGTTACGATTCATTTAACGGATTTGAGGACGATTGAAGATACCACTATTCCTTGTAAATGTAATACGAACAATGAGTTACCCACAACTTCGAAGTCTATGTGTACTTGTACGGTGTTGGGATGGGGCTTTGATATGCCAAAAAGAAATGCAAAAATGGACCCGGCGAGGATTGAACTCGCGACCCTTGCATAGCTAAGGTTTAATGCTGCCCATAAGTACAAAGCTCTACCAGCTGAGCTACGGGTCCGATCACCTTAACGATCAGTCTCAACGTACATAACGTGACCAGTCAGAAGGAGGAAACCCCGAGCGGCTATTCGGATCCCCACCAACTTCGCTCGCGACGAACATCATCGTCAGACCAGTGGCTGGACTCGGCCCTGCGTCGCATGCTACTCTCTGCTGTCTCCTTAAGTTTACCATTACAATCGCCACTTCTTAGACCCCTATCGCGTTCATCTAACCCCCCACGACGACTACCAAGATGATGATAGTGGCTGGAGCTCCCCTCCAAGCTGGTTCAAGTTCGACCTACGTCGAGGACGACCAGGACGAAACTCTCTTTAGTGATGAATCTGAGGAGGAGCAACCCGATGGCGCGTTGAGCCAGGAGTACGTGGGTGTTGTACCCCGATCCGTTTATGAATCCTCGCAACCAGACCGCGACGTTTACTCTGAGGATGAGGCTGAAACATCCAACGCGGTATCAGGACCTTCATACCCGACTCCCAGCGTTATATCAAATACCCCATTCACCCCTACCAATGATCCCAAGTCGCGCTCGCGAAATGTACGGCAGAGGCGTTCATCTTCCACGTCTCCACGCCCTCCTAGGACTACAACGCCCGCAACCTCGAAAACGACCAAACAACTTTCTCCAAACCCACAATCTTTCAATGATATCACGGATATATTGGCTCATCTGTCAGCCCAGTTCGACGCTGGGTCACCTCCGACGAAGGGGGAGGACGAGAACAAGGATGGCACAGGAGAGGAAAGCTCGGGGAAAACCTATCCATGTCCAGAATGTCCCAAGGAATTTGGACGCAACAGCGATCTAGTGCGACACGCACGTATACATTCTGGAGAAAGGCCGTACATATGTCAATATCGCGGATGTGGCAAATCATTTATTCAGGTAGAGTCAGCACATTTAACTTTTTAGAGGTGGAATAACTGATGAGGCGGCATCTGTCACCTAGCGGACGGCGTTGATTGTGCACAGCCGTACTCATACAGGCGAACGGCCACACGCGTGCGAGTATCCTGATTGTCAGAAAACATTCTCAGACTCGTCTTCCTTGTCACGGCATAGAAGAGTGCATTCGGGGCGCCGTCCGTATCAATGTCAAGAAAAGGATTGCGATAAAACATTCACTCGACGGAACACTCTGAACAATCACGTTCGAATACATCACTCTCACTTGACGCCCGGTGTCTCGCCGTACGTGTTTCAAAGAAATTGCCGAGATGCGATTAGACTAATTGCTTAGTAGGCCGCCTGCCAAACCGAGGAAAAAGCGGAAAACAAATGACGAAACAAGCTCGACGGCAACGCAACCGATCATAGTGCCAAACGCGACAGACACGCTAGCCGGACCTTCAGGGCACCCAATGTCAGCGTTTCTGAACGGAAATGGATCATCAGGGCCCGGGAAGAAGGGCGACGAGCTGATGCTGGAAACCAATCTGAGCGCGGGAATTGCAGCGGCTATTGCCCAGGCTCATGCACAAGCAGCACTGGACGGGATTGTGCCTCGGGACGGATCGGAAAACGAGGAAGACGACGCCGAGGACGGTGCAGACGAAGACGGCGTGATAGCTGGAGCGGCCCTTCCGGGTCCGGGGCGGGCAGTCGATGTCGAGAAAGACAACCTGGACGAGTGGGTGCACCAGGACGACGACGAAGACGACGGGGACATTGAGATGAGAACCGAGGAGACTGTTGGGCGACCGGCTGGATGAGCGTGTCCTCGTTGTCTCACGATGTATATATCATCCCGAGCTTATAGGCTTAAGCAGCACTACTATCACATGAGCGGAACACGGCTCTACACTATAAGACTAGCATTCCATATCCCTATATCCCTATAATTCCTAATCACCACCACCATGTCCACTGACGAAGAGCTCCCCAGCACCGATCTTATCACGCTTACCAGGTTAGCGATGGCGTCCAGGAACGTCGCCGCAGTCTGACCGTCACACTAGAGATGTCCTCGGCGAGCAGTTTCGTCTCGGTGCAGAGGCCACTGGTGACCTCACTCTGCTCTTGACTGCCATCCAAGTCACATCCAAATTCATCGCAACGAACGTCCGTAAAGCGAGACTGATCAACTTGTACGTCGCAATCAACTGGTGCTCACGCTCTTGAATCACGTCGCCTCCCTCAGAGTGGGTCTTGCTGGAGACACCAATGCCAGCGGAGAGGAACAGAAGAAACTGGATGTCCTATCTAACGATATCATGGTCAACGCTCTACGAGCCTCGGGCAAAACAGCTGTTCTAGTCTCAGAGGAACTCGAACAGGCCATTATCATCGAGGGACGTCATAAAGGCAAATACTGCGTCGTCTTCGATCCGTTAGATGGCAGCAGCAACATCGATGCCGGTGTCAACATTGGTACCATTTTCGGTATCTACAAGATTGTAAGCTGCCGTATCTTTCTCTAATCTAGCAATCGCTGATGCTTTCTACTTAGGCGCCAGGCTCATCCGGTCAGATCTCGGACGTTTTGCGACCAGGAAGTGAGATGGTTGCGGCGGGATATACAATGTGAGTTCTGAGGCGGTCCGGGGGCCAACAGAAGCCAGATCTGACGGACTCAAAAGGTACGGGTCTTCAGCAAATCTGGTCCTGACGACTGGAAAGGGTGTCAATGGATACACTCTCGATAATGCCCTTGGCGAATTCATCCTTACACATCCCAACGTAAGCACCCAGCTCGAAATGGCCAGATTAGATTCACTAACCGTAATCTCTTAGATTAAAATCCCTCCCCGTGGCAAAATCTACTCATTCAACGAAGGAAACTCGATGTACTTTTACCCTCCCGTCCTGAAATATCTCGAATCCATCAAATACCCCGCCAATGGCAAATCACCATATTCATCTCGTTATATCGGTTCTATGGTCGCCGACGTCCATCGGACTTTGCTCTATGGCGGTATCTTTGGTTATCCTGATGACAAGAAGAGCAAGAACGGGAAACTGAGGTTGTTGTATGAAGCCTTCCCGATGGCTCTCCTCACGGAACAAGTATGTCCCTCATGATTCTCTCAAAATTAGTTACCTCATGATTATTATCCAGGCTGGGGGTATTGCTACCACTGGACGTGGGCGCATTCTGGACATTCACCCTACCGATATTCATCAGAGGACTCCCATATTCCTCGGTTCAAAGGACGATGTGCTGGACGTCATCAAGTTCTACGAGCAAGACGCCAAGGCCGAATCCTCTTGAACATCTTGTGGCATGTAGATGTTGCCGATGCAAATGTACTAATTCAGACGTTATAACCTTTTGCACCTGTAGCCCACCGAGTAAATCAATAATTGTATGCTACATTTGTAATTACTATTGGGATATCTTTCTACCAGAACGATTGTATAAAATGAATGTACGATGTTGTCAGTGGACTCGGGAAACGACAGGATGGTGGTGAGAGTTTATTCATATATGCGACGGAATCGGCTTGGCGTGATGACCTTGCTACGATCCAAGTCGTACGAGGTAATGAATTCGGCCTCGTTGGTGCTCGTGGCAACATCGCGACGAACCGGGAAGATACGTGGGTTAACGAACTGGGCTGTAGCGTCAGCCAGTGAACTACTTGGGGGACCTGAACGTACCTTTTGGTCATATTCGTTCATGACTTCAGCGGAAATAATGGCACGATCCTTCACCAGTGCTTCATATGTGTACATGAGTCCATGGACTTGAAGCGATACAAGGCCCAAAATGCAAAGGACTAGGAACCAGTTATTGAAATCCCACGTCCGCCAGAGAAGCGAATGAACGGGTGAGTATACACTATAACGCCATAAGCACATAAAGGGCAGATAGGCAGAGCAACTCACGTGAATAAAGTCTTCTCGAAATCGCCAGGGGCCCAAACCTCCAACTCTTGGATCTGATTACTTTTGCGTGACAAGTCTTCGGCTGGAGTCGGCTGATTGAAAAGAAACCGGCTTTTGCGAGATCTTAGCGGAAGTAGCAAACAAACATATGTTAACTTACTAAGTAGACATTAGAGTTGCCCATGCAATCCGCAGAGTCCGCTCGCGCGTGGTAGGCGTCTCCGGAGCCTCGGATTCTAGGCTGGCGTCGACAAATTTAGCATGAGGGGAAGAAACGAGGCTTTGGGTCGCCCGACCGGCCGGTTGATGGTGATGAATGCGGTATACGCGTATACGCGTGAATAAATAGAAGGTTACGAGACCGGAACCGACAAGGAGGAAGAACGAGAAGATGGTCGACTGGAATATGGACCATGAACGATTGCTTGAGTGAAGATTAGTGAAACTCACCCAATCAAACCACGACTCTTCATACATGTCGTACCATCCTAAATCTTCATCTCGCAGTCCGCGCAGTTGACTCCATCGACAACAGAAATGTATCAGATGGGCAAGGCCACCAGACCAACGACCCATAGCTTGTGACTCAGGCCAAGGAATGAGTTCAGGTAACTCGGTGATGTTGAACCATATCTGAGAGGGCATGGCGGAAGCCCTAGGGACGGAATTGAGTTTTGGTAACATTGCCACTCTGAGCACAAAGGACGTACTTTTCCCAGAAAGATTTCTTGCGCACGACGCGTTTAGACGTTCCATTGCTTGCAGGTGTCCCATTATTCCTTAACCCGCTCAACCTATCGCGTGACCTGTTGACAGGAGTCGAGAAAGTCGACGATTGACCGGATGAAGCTGCTTTCCAGTCGAATCTAGAACAAAACAACGCCATGAGGTATCAAACCGAGACTATCAATTTGGGGGACTAACGGTAGAGACGCAGAGTGAGAAGGCAGACTAGTAATCGGCGACTCCGAGATGACGATATTCCTCTTAGGAACTGGCGTTGGCGTTTTAGGCGTGGTCGGTGCCAGCACCGGTCGAGTCATAGGAATGCCCGCCATAGGGTTGATAGTCCTGCGCCTCATATTCGACATGATGGGGGACGGAAGAAAGGGGACTGAGGGCGTTCAGGAGAGTGGCTCGTCTAAGTACCAAATTTCGGCTGGTGG